CGAAGAAAGAGCTGGTATGTACACCAGCTCTTGTGAGGAATTCCTCCCAGCGAGCTGGATTGTGTACCAGCTCTCCGGGAGGGATTCCTCCCGGCAGTGTGGCCTCTGCTTCTCTAGGCCAAGGGGGGCCATTTTTTTGTAAAAATATTCCACTCTATTTCAGTCTCTTGGCACTGGGTATCCCGTGGGATACCCGGATATCCTCCAGGATTTTAGGGGGAAGGGGACATCCGCACCTGAATCCGCACCCCCTGGCGGAAATGCTGCCACAGATACGGTATCTGCCCGTATCTGCCATGTATCACTATGTATCTGAGCTCTAATAAAAAAAACTATCTGACCAATCTGCTTTTATTTGCAAGGAGATTCAACAAATTTGGTTTTTGGCCATGCAGCTTTGCAGAATTCTCCATGATACACACAGTGTATTGTATCTGTGGCAGCGTTGCTGGCGGGTATCTGTTGGCACTGGCGGGTATCCTCGACCATCTCTATCACACTTTCAGTACATATTTTGATAATTTCTAATTTGAATACGGGTCGCTGTAATTTTACAAACTATTTTTTACAAGACATATGTCTTGTAAACCGGATAGTTTGTAAAATTACATTTTTATGGGGGTAATGTATAATTTTACAAACCATCACCCAAAAATATGGGTTGCAAAAAAAAGGGTTGCAAAATATGTGCCTTAAAATTGCAACCCATGCCCCATGGAGTAGAATTTTAAGGCACATATGTTGCAACCCTTATGTCTTGCAAACAACATGATTTGCAAAAGTACATTTTTGCCCTATTTCAAGGAATTTTGCAACCATTAGTTTGCAACCCATCTATGAGTTGTAAATTATGTTTTTCAAAACTGCACAACATGGTATGTAAAATTGAATTTTACAAACCATATTTTGCAACCCTTTCAAGCAATTTTGCAACCATTAGTTTGCAACCCATCTATGAGTTGTAAATTATGTTTTGCAAAATTGCACAACATGGTATATAAAATTGAATTTTACAAACCATATTTTGCAACCCTCCAAAAAAAAAGAGGGAGACACTATGGAATATGGAGGTACTGAACCGCCACTTTGGCCATGAAAAAAGGAAAAAAAAAATCAGTCATTTCTGGGGGTGTTTAACCCCATCAATGACCGGTCAAAACCGGTCATTGATGGGGGTGCTTGGGGGTGTTTACTTCCATCAATGACTGGTCAAAACCGGTCATTGATGGGGATGTTGGCGGTGTTTACTCCCATCAAGGACCGGTCATAAATAACTGGTCCTTGATGGGAGTGTGTCCTCCCATTGACAACCAGTGTCATAAATGGTCAACAATGGGAGGAATGTAGGGCCAAATTGGCTGATGATTTTTTTTTTTTCATTTTTTGATGGGAGTAAACACTCCAATTGATGAATGGTTTTGACTGGTCATTGATGGGAGTTAACACCCACATAAATGACTGGTCAAAACTGGTCATCAATGATAGACACAATCCCATCATTTTTACATTTTTTGGCCAAAGTGGCGGTTCAGTACCTCCGTACTCCATAGTGTCTCCCTTTTTTTTCCTTTTTTTTTTTTTTTTTTTTTTTTTTTTTTTGGAGGGTTGCAAAATATGGTTTGCAAAATTCAATTTTATATACCATGTTGTGCAATTTTGCAAAACAAAATTTACAACTCATAGATGGGCTGCAAACTAATGGTTGCAAAACTCCTTGAAAGGGTTGCAAAATATGGTTTGTAAAATTCAATTTTACATACCATGTTGTGCAGTTTTGCAAAACATAATTTACAACTCATAGATGGGTTGCAAACTAATGGTTGTAAAATTCCTTGAAATAAGGCAAAAATGTACTTTTGCAAATCATGTTGTTTGCAAGACATAAGGGTTGCAACATATGTGCCTTAAAAATCTACTCCATGGGGCCTGGGTTGCAATTTTAAGGCACATATTTTGCAACCCTTTTTTTTGCAACCCATATTTTTGGGTGATGGTTTGTAAAATTATACATTACCCCCAAAAAATGTAATTTTACAAACTATCTGGTTTACAAGACATATGTCTTGTAAAAAATAGTTTGTAAAATTCACTTACCCCTTTGAATACATATGTTGATTTGTGTGGACCTGACTGGTCCATTATGTGAATGCACGTCTGCCTTTGGTGGCTCATTTGGAAAGCCCCACAGAGCACTATTTAGGCCACAACATCCCCTCACTCTGCCCCATTTTCCAAAAAAAATAAATGTTGGCACCCAAAATTCCAATCACCCAAATATTGTGTACGGTCATGTGGGTATGGCCACTGTTTTTTGGCCAATGTGGACTGTATTCAATAACTAATCTGGGACATATTATACACACATATATAAGTAGAGTCTTAGCTAATCGACTCCCAAAAAGTGGAGGATCGACTCCCAAACCCCAAAACCCCCGGAATTTCCACCGAAATCCCCGAGGAATGGGAGTCGATCCCCCAAACCCGTCAGCGGGTTTGGGAGTCGAAAACCCACTAATTTTAATAAAAAAAAAAGGCCAACCCCCGAAGGGGTTGGGGGTCGATGTCCCAAAACCCACTGGGTTTTGGGTGTCGCTTACCAAAAAGGGCCCGCAACGGCCGGGAGGAATCCTCCCGGCCGATGAAAGTGTACACTCTCATCAGCCGAGAGTGTTTCTCTTGGCCGCTGAGAGTGTACACTCTCATCGGCTGGGAGAAACACTCTTGGCCGCTGAGAGTGTACACCCTCAACGGCCGGGAGAAAACCTCTCGGCCGTTGAGAGTGTACACTCTCGGCTGATGAGAGTGTACACTCTCATCGGCCGGGAGAAACATGAGCTGACTACTGTTCGGCGTCGACCGGCTGCCGTTGGGGGTACCATCCGGTCCAGGTTAGTTGGCCGGGCCGTCTGGGGTACTCCTCCTCCATGACCAAGTATGTATCCTCGGTCATGGAGGATTCAACTCCTCCATGACCGAGTATGTATCCTCGGTCATGGAGGATGCACCTCCTCCATGACCGAGTATGTATCCTCGGTCATGGAGGATTCAACTCCTCCATGACCGGGTATGTATCCTCGGTCATGGAGGATTCAACTCCTCCATGACCAAGTATGTATCCTTGGTCATGGAGGATTCAACTCCTCCATGACCGAGTATGTATCCTCGGTCATGGAGGATTCAACTCCTCCATGACCAAGTATGTATCCTCGGTCATGGAGGACTCAACTTCTCCATGACCGAGTATTTATCCTCGGTCATGGAGGACTCAACTCCTCCATGACCGAGGATACACCCTCGATCAGGGAGGATTTGACTGCTCCATGA